GGATGGAAGTTTGCTTAAGAGGGCAGCGTGCCACAGCTGGTCGAACGCTTTCGTGATGGCAAGAGCAACGACATGAGCCTCACCATAAGACTGGATGAATTTACTCCACAATTGAGTGACGTAAGCTAGGAGGTCCCCTGTGGATCGTTGGTGCCGGAAACCATACTGCCTGTCGCTAATCAAGCTGTGACGTTCGAGGTAGTCCAGAAGCTCGCGATTTTACGCGCCTCTCCATCACCTTACTTATAACAGGAAGCAGAGCTATACGCCTATAGTTGTAAGCGTTGGTCTTAGATCCTTTTTGGGATGGGTTGCTCTGCTGTACACCTCTTCAGTACAATGGTAGGAATCAATTCCGCACTAACTCTTTGAAAATACAAATACTTGCCAAGGTCTCTTCGTCCTTTGCGGAACTCCAAATGTTCAAAACAAAATTTGCCGCACATGCCTTTTATAGTATTCATGAATATTTTGATGCATCTTGGCAGATTTGGTAGCTGTATGATGAAATATATGTGGCTATTTACTTTAATTTGCACTTTGTTATGTCTGTACATATCTATTCTACATTTTATTAATTATTATTATAAATAAATAAATTAGTTTCTCACTCTGTGCAAGGCTCAGATAAGGCCTGGTCTCAAATACTGTTCTCATGTTTGGGGTGCCTTGACTACATTGTTCATATTCGATGCAGTTCAGAGAAGGCTGTCTTCTGAACCATGACACTTCTCTAGTGGACTGTCTCGGGGTCCTAAGGGCAAGAAACAAAAAAATAGAAATCGACCAAACAGCCTTTCTTGACGTATCAGAGGCTCCTAATCCTTTTCAGAAAAAATGCGTTCGAAAGCCCTATGGAGTGGAGAGGGTATATCTAGATTTTTTGACGTTTGTTTATCCAACCCAGATAAAGAACATATTAGACGTATTTCACAAATCACAGATTTCCTCGTACGTTGCCCTTAAATAACTGCCGTGGATCATCATCCGTGCGAGGTTAGTCATAGCAACGTTCATCGGTGTTCGCATGAATTTTTTTCAGGAAAGAATTCACTTTCTGTGGAGGCGTATCTGCTTTTTGTGAAGGTGCACTTTGCAAAGCAGAACGTATTATATCTTATCACGGGCTCAAATCCTACACATCAAAGTTGTATAAAAAAATATGCCAAATACGCAAATTCTAATTGCATAAGCGTTTTTTTGTTATACGTGCTGGTAGCTCACTTTTTTCTGCCGATTTTTCGTGCCGTACAAAACTCTCCATAAACTGATGACAGTATTGCGTGGAGAGGACAGAGTCAATCTACTTGACGCCAATTTTTGTTGAATATCCCTAAACGGGAGTGTCTTTTATTAATAATAATAATAACATTTATTCACTCAATGTACAAAGAGAACAAACAACATAAGTAAATAAATATAAAATCAGAACAGGCCCAATAGAAGGCATTGCCTGTACATGGACCAATAATTTTAAGTTGAAACTGTAGAATGCAAATGACAGACAAGGACAAACATTAGCCACAGTAGATTATATATTTACTTTATGTTCGTATTTATGAGTTTATGAATTTCAGTCCTAGATACACAATCTAGCCACTTTTTTAAATTTCTTTTGAAACAATTTGCGAAACGTAAATCTTTTAAGCCTTTAGGTATAATTTCATAAAATTTTGGCGCTAAATAGAGATATGACCGCTGCATTATAAATTTATGAGGCTTAGGAACTAATGTGCCATGAATTTTGTACCTTGTGTAATGATTATGTTTAATTTTTAGGTCGGTGTTTAGAAATTTATGGAAGTCAGTGATACTGTGTAAGAAATAAAGCTGTCTTATATCATTAATTCGAACATGTGCGTATAATAAAGTTTCGGTTTTTTAAACATCATTTTTAGAATACTGTTTTGAAAAGCATCTAAATTATTAGATATATGAGGAACATGCAGCTTCCCATGCTAATATATCGTATGTGAGATGAGGCTCAATCAGTGCATTAATGTTCGAAATTATTTTTCTGTCTATATATTCCCAAGGTATTTAATTTAGTAGGATACAAATCTAACTTTCTTTAACATATAATTGACATGGATGTCCCAACATAAGTGAGGATCCAAGACCACTCCAAGGTATTTTATGTTGGGCACTCTATTAATTTGCATTTTTGATCATTGATGTTTAAGGAGAAATTTGTGTAATCTGGCAGATGTCTAGCATAAGATCCAAATGGTAAAAAATGTGCTTTAGAATAGTTAATGCTTAATTTTCTACTATGAAACCTCCGAATAATTTTGACAAAATCATTTTCAATTATATTTTTCAGATCAGACCACTCAGTGCCTTCATATAACATTGCAGTATCATCTGCAAAACTGGTTATTTTGCCGAAACCAGTTGGAAAATATGATTTAAATATATATTGAATAACAGTGGACCTAAGACAGTTCCTTGTGGGACACACTTAATACACTTAATATACAACGATCCTGATATCTGGACAGATTGTGGGCGCTTTGGCAGATAATTTCTGATCAGTGGGTACGCGTTTCCTCTGAAAGCAATTCTCTCCAATGCTTCTAATAATAATTTGTGATTAACTGTGGCCGACTACATTAAAACTCCTTTATAGGATAAACGTCTGGGCTATTATAATCAACGTGTCGCAACCTCATTGCAACATTTTTCACAGTCGCGAAATCCACCATATTTACTTTTCTTCGGTTTTTATACACCAAGCCCTAACAATGATACATACACCTACATTCCTAAAATACACACGGGGCTCGTAGATTTATTAGATTTATTCGTCTTTATTTCTCTTAGCTGTGCCTTTCTTCCTTTTTATGGGAAATTTTTTGCAGCTTCTGCTCCATTTCGTCCACGCAGTCACTTTGGAAAGAAATACTAAGGCCATTTTTTACAGCAAACTCTTCAAATTAAATCGCCTTGACTACAAAAAGGTTCAACTTTCAAGAGGGCTCATGGGAGAACTGTGTTCTCTCTTCTGCCGCGCAGTCACGAAAGTAACGATCTGGACAATTGTGGCTGACAAACGACTGAAAGAAGTGAGGATCTGTGCTAAAACTGTTTCTTAAACTCGTCGACCGAAGTACCTCTATGGCAATGTATTGCGGGACATTTAAATTTGAGGGTAAACGTTAGGATTTTTTTCATTTATCTGCTTTAGAAGGTTGGTCCGGTATACAGGGTGTTCCTTAATGATATGCGAATATTTAAGGGTGTGAATCTACATGAAAAATTAATGTCAGTTTGCTTTATAAACTATGGTCCAAAAATATTTCCTTACAAAAACTCGGGGTGTTGAAGTTTTAGGAAAAAATTGAAATTAATTGATATTTTCAGAACCGCTTCAGATATTTCACTGATATTCAGTACGTAGGCTAGCGAGGGTCGGAAATATTTCTCCACCGTTCCACGTTTCAAGAAAAAACATAGGAGGAAATCTATGTTGAGTGAAATATGTTTCGACCCCCGAACTTATAAAAAAAATTATCAAGATCGTCTGAAGCGTCAAAAAACAAACTTTGAGAAATTTTTGGATCAATTTTAAAGACTATAATTTGATCAAAATCTGACCGGTACTTTCCAAGTTATAGAGGGGTTTATTTCAATAACAGCTAAATAACGTCTGTTATAGAAAAATGATTTTTCTTTCGAAAAATCCTTGGCAACCTATGGGCTAACATAGTTATTCTTTTGTTCCAGGTTTTCGGAGAGCTCGGACTGACTAAGAGGTCGATTCCAGGTACGAAATGACGTGTCTGTGTAATGACGAAGAACGAGAATGACTTTCATTGTGTACAATACTCTACAAAAACGGCAAGTGTAAAAGCGCTTCTTGTAAATTTATGTATATGTATAGTTTTGTGACTTTTACTCAGGTCGGTGCAATACTTCGGGACGGTGACTGGACCCTTACTGGATACTTCGTAACTAAAACATTTGTACAGCTTTGCATGAATTTATGTCTACAAGATGGTGTAGTTTTACGTAAGTTTATTGCTGTGCCTGGAGGTGGTTTTCATTCAAACCGTGTGTCTTCGAGGTTGCAGATATTTTGGTCAAATGGTTGTTTTTTTTGGTATATCGGAAAATTTGCGGATGGATACACGTATATTATGTACACCTTCGATGACCTTGAGTCTTACGAAATCAAATATGGGGATCTAAAGAAACTTGCCATGGGTTGATATAATTGCAGAAGAGCTACACGATATACATACAGCAATGGACAAAAGTATATAGACAAATATGAATATTTACCTAAATACCTTTAGAAAACGAATTCATACTTCATTGCTCCATAAACAAATGCATTATTAGTAGAAAAACTAAAATCCTTGTTTTTACATTATCTGCAATGAACACAATACAAGTCTGAATATAAGTACTTTTTTATGAGGGACAAAAATATGTAGACAAATTCTTTTTAACATTAGTTTAGTACAGTTTCGTGTCAGAAGAGGATTAGTTGTGTTCATCAAGTATTGTGGAATAAGTTGAGTGATTTAGGACATGCCGCGTGGTCCAGAAATTTCTTTCGATGTGAAACTAAGATCATTGAGTTATACAAAGATGGTCAACGTCAAGTCAACATTGCCAAAAATTTGAAGCTGAAGCGTAAAGCAGTTTGGGCAATATTGAACAAATATAAACAGAAAGGTATCTTGGAAGCCTCTAAGAGAAGTGGTCGGCCTAGAAAACTAAATGCTAGATCAGTTAGATTAGTAAAAGTAATCCCTTTAAAACCCCAAGAGAATAAAAGCCGAAATCGAGACAAAAGGAATTGTCAGTGTTTATACGAAAACTATAACCTCCTCAGTCCCAAGGCTTGCTTCTTCGTAATTTTTGTAGAATTTTCTGAGAAATACGAGTATTATGGACTGAATAAAGTTATAGATCCAGTCAAGTGAAATTTTATTAAAAAGAAAAAAAATTACAACATGTCCCACATTTTGGACATGAGGACTTACTTTATCTCAAAGTTTAAGAGTGAAATTCAAAAAACATTGTCTTTCTAGAGAAATACAAAGATAAACCTGGCATTTGAGACAGTTGAACCGAGTTTTCTTTGTGCAACCTGCATTCCTGCACCGCATGTAGGAGTTTTTGTCATTTACACTACATATCGGCAAATGATCGTTGCCGGTTTTTCTGACGTCCTTGGGTGGCAATGCTGTTGACTTCTTGCGTTTTGCCGGTATATTCTCTTCGGCACTATCATTGTTCCCCCGATCGTGTAAAGTCTTCTGTCTTTGGCCTCCGAGAGCTAAAGATCTACCAATATAGAGTTTGAACTCTAGCAAATCCATGACGGTATTCTTCCGATCTCCGCGCGCTAAGCAATCCTGCTTGTACCTTATCCATGCATTAGTGATGGCCAAGTCAATGAAGTGCCAAATACACGCACTGGCCATTTCTTTGTTCGCATGCAATTGCGATAATATGAAATGAAAAGATCGCAAAGATCTACACCGCCCATCGAGCGGTTGTAACTAACGATGGAATTGGGACATGGAACTAAAATACATTTTGAGTTTTTTTTGTCCCACCTGTGAACATCGCATATCGGCGCAGAACCTGACGATGTAGATTGTGACGGATCTGCTGTCCATCCACTTCAGTAATGACATTTTTTTATCAGTTCTCACCCATTCATCATACGAACCCCGACCATTTGATAGCAGATCTTTATCTTTTTAATTTTATCTCTTACAACTCGAGGCGCCCTATTATTCATAATAGTTCCTACTTCTAAGATCCCTTTAGTTAATAAATGGTCGAGTAGGTTGAGGGAAGTGAAATAACGATCAAAATAAAGGACGTGTCCAGGTGACAAATCTTCAGAAAGCTTTTTCACCACACTCCCTCCTATGCCCAAATCCTTCTCTGGCGAACCATCTGGCCAGGTTTTAGCTCGCTGGTAAATGAAGAAATTTAATACCAACCCTGAGGGTGTCGCCAGAACAAAATTTTTCAACCCAACGGGATTTGGTTTATTTTAACGTATTGGACTAAGCTTGAAGTGCCTGTAAACGGTATCATTTGTTCATCAATAGATAAGTCTTTTGTCCTTGGCAAGGTGATACACTTGGCTCGAACTGAATCAAGAATCGGTTGCACTTTCCAACTTGTTTGATTGTTTTTCTTGATCTGAAATGCTGAGGTTATCAACAACATGTAGGTAGTTTCGTAATTTGAAAATTCGATCTCTAGGTAGTTGGGTTATTATGGGGATTTCGATTCCTTCTATGAAATACCGCCTTAGTCTTGGCAAGTCAAATATAACCCATGAGAATATGAAATTTTCCCTTAGTTTATACGATATTCTTCGCTGTACCGAATTCAATCACTTTGTTCATCAGCCTGCATCGGCTTTGATTTGCTTTGCTTAGATAAATTTTCACAAAACCTCGTCAGAAAATTATTGTGAGAAGTAATCTAATGGCGTCCACACTCACGCTCTTCCTGTAAACCCATTCTGGATCGAGGTAAGCAATATTTCTGTTCCTCGGCAAGGCTGTCTTTCTTTCCCCGTTATGTGCAGTATTAAATTTTCTTCTGCAATCTCTTGTACTCTCTATTACAGATGAAATGGCATTTCTTCATCAGAGTCTATTCTGAAGCTTCATAATCTTCTTCGACTTCTAGTGGCTGATCTGAGCATTTTCATTTAACGTCGCTGTAATGAACGCATCATTCTGCAATCATGAGAATCGCTTAGAAAATAAAATTCAAATGCTGTTATGATTTCCTCTAAATCGGCATCAGTGAGATATTTTTGGACTCTAAAAAAACGAGTATTAAACAAGGCATAAATTTACAAAGAAGGAAATACTAAAACAAGTAGTCAAAACAATTACAAAACCAAAGTATGTCCAAGTAAGTATAGTAAAGTCCCGGTGTCCAAAATGCTGTACAGAAAACGTAGACCACTTTTACACAGTTTCTTATTACTGTTAACATCCAACCGACATTACTAGTCGAAGATACATTCATATTCTGACGATTCTCACATAGTAATGATTGAAATAATTGGCCGAAATACAAAAACTTACCAAATTTACGTACGCCATGGCAAACTTCAAAACGAGCACCCGTCATAGTTACAATGACGAAACACCGGCCTTGCCAAGTTTACGAGGTTGGAGTGAGATACTATGCATAAAACTATGTCCAGCGCGGAGGACTCGGGTCGGAGAGGGTAAAATATTGCGTTGATGTTGCGGGCTGGACTAAGGAACGAAGAGGATAAGTAGGAGATTAAGTGATTTGAAGTTATTTGCACTTCGCCCGAGTGAGAAGCCGCTAATCTCGAGGAAAAACCGTAAGGACCGATTACAATTTGAACGGTTGCATCTTGATTGAAGCATCTGTGACTGAAAGAGGGTATGTTTCAGTAACGAATCCAAGTTCAATATGATTGGATCAGAAGGTGTTCATTACGTTAGACGTCCTAGTGGACAGAGATTGAAACCCAAATACACCTTGCCCACTATCAAACATGGGAGGCGGGTCTTTTATTGGTTGGGGGTGCTTTTCGGTGTTTGGGATGGGACCTTTACATAGAATAGATGGAATTATGGATAAGTTTGTATACACAGACTTGTCATGTTACCCTATATGGAAGATAATATGCCCTTAAGATCAACCTTCCAGCAAGATAATGACCCGAAGCAGACTTCAAATCTCGCAAAGAAATTCTTTCTGGATGAAAAAATACCAGTTCTCAAATGCATTTACCGTCTCCCGATATAAACCCCATTGACAATCTATGAGAATAAATACTTAGATAAGCAAATACGAGGTAAATATTATTCAAACAAGGATGCACTTTTTGCCGCTTTAGAGCAAAAGTCGATACAGATTGATGAATCTTATATCAAGAAACTTCTACGATATATGCCGAGACGATGCCAGGCGGTGATTGTTAATAATGGTTATGCTACAAAATATTAACACAAACATGGTTGGTTTACTATATTTCAATGAACTTTGCTTCTTTTTTCTATATTGTTTTGCTTTGTCTGTATATTTTTGTCTCCCATAGTTGCAGTTTTTTCAAATATTTTTTTATTGAAAAGGAGTTTAATGAATTATTTATGTATAAGTGAGTATTATGCTATAACGACTTATGTATACAGGTTGGTGTATTAATAAAGCAAGTTAAAAAAGAAAATCAGCACAATATTAATTGTCTATATACTTTTGTCCATTACTGTATATACTTGAAGAATAATAGGAGGAAGGAAAGTGAATATGGTCAGGACCGAGATAAGTATATAAGGGGTTTGCAAGTCTAAAGAACTTCAAAGAGCGTGTGCTACTCTTGCAAATATTTCAACACCTGGATACTTTTTAAACATTTGCTGGTGAACAACTTAGTCCTAACCTTGTACCGAATCAGAACGACGATTTAATTTTGTCTACTGCTGATTCCGTTCTGAATGTATGAGGTCAGGTTGGCTGATATGTAAACTGACTGGTTTGTATCTTGAATATTTGTGAGATGGAATGAAATACGTCCATCTTAATCTTATATTGAAACTTATAAATTATCTATGAAAAATAATAGTCAGTTATATATTAGCCTACCTGTATATTAGTCCATAATCATTTGAGAAATAAAATACACACAATAAAAACTACCTCCAGGCAACATTGTGTAAGTACATCTATAAGATATGGTACTTAATGAAAAGACCCCTAAAAGAATAATAATAAACTTTCTATGTGCTACCTTACATACGCAGCTGAATACTGTAATACCTATTAGTTTGTTAGAACTATCAAGACAGTGGCACAAAACAAAAAAACTATGTTATATCTATAACTACGTAACTAAAAAATAAATATAAGAAGTGAAGGTATCCAGCTACTATCGCAGAATTTACTCTAACTCAAATTGAAATGGCACTAGAGGAGTTTTATATATATATATAATATATATCAGAAGCAGTAACTTCAGGTTATACAAATCTACAATTTACTATTCTTTTAATCTTTGATATTAGGCTTCTGGTTTTCAAGCTAATGTCAATTATGTTTCATGCTTCAAGGACCTATGATGAAATCATCATCTTCTCTAGCCTGTTAATTTTTTACAAAGATGGTTGCTGTTTCGACATAAGCATCCAGTTTTGTCTCGCTCAAAAAGGCAATGCTATTTCATCATGTTGGGACGATGCTCTGGTTTTACAATAACCGACAAACATGCCGAAAAGGACCACCATAATATTAATATACGGTTATGATAGTAAATACGGTTTCTTATATTGCCAATTGTAAATAATGAGGATGTTATGAGTGTGGGTATTACTGACATAATAATGATCAGCTGAACGTAAATGAGAATTAGATTTCTGCGGGGGTTTATGCAGATTATTTGCGATCCTATGAAACATGAAATGCTCGTCATTATGCTACGAATCAGAATTCACTAGGTTACGCATACAACTTTGGCCGTCGAATCGTTTAGGTGTGTCCAAAGTTCTTCGATGGCACATTTTCCCTCATTAAATGTCATCTCGTAAAAATGGAATTGGATGCAAGCGTTAAGGTAACAAATACAAGTAATTACAAAACAGTAATGTCTACATTATGAAAAATAAATTCTAATTGGCACTTAGGTTCGGTTTTTTTCAATCGCATGTTAACTTTCTGGTTAGTTAATCATACAAGACAGCTCGTATTTTTTTACAAATGTAGAGACTATATGGATGCGATTATAGAAATAGTGATAGAGAAGACAGCAATGCAATGTCTAGTTAACCTTACATATGACAAACATACAATTAAAATTGTAAATATCTGTGTTTTAAACATCATATTTGTCACCTTCTTCAGCATCATTTCGACAATCCACGACCCAACGGAGAAAAATACGGCTGTTCATGTTGCTAAGATTTATCAAAAACTGTTTCCTACCATGAATGAAGATAACATTAAAAAGCTCAAAGTTTCTCAAATGCTGTGATGAAATGATGTATCATTGGCCATTAAAAGCAAGAGAAACAATAGAGAACAAAAAATGTGAATCAGTTTCCTGACAAGAGGAGGAAAACTCTGTTTCACAGCCTTTTTCTAAGACCACATCCTGCAAAGATCTTCAGATCGTCCAATTAGTCAATGTATTCGGCTAATCACGGATCTTTTTGTCCTTCTTGCCTCCTCATCTCTGCTATATCGATATGAATATGTGAGTTTTTAACAAAACGTCAAAGTCTGTGTCAAAAGGTATTGTTATTTAACCACTGTCTTTCTAGTTAACTCTTAGATGGTATTGTTTAACTACCGTTTCACTAAACATGATTTTGATAGACGCTGCTTCATAGATAACTACAACTTAAGAGCAAGGTCCTAGTTAACCTGAGACTGACAAACTGGCCATCCTTTTTGTCGTTGACTTTGGGTATCAGTTCCAGTAGAAGAATTTGGATCACTTAATTTGAAACGCCCAAAGTTATATGTATGATAAATATATATAGTAGCATAATAATAGCTGTAAGTATGAGAAGGCGGAGATATAATACTTCACATACATTTTGAACCTATCTCTCTACCACGAGGCAAGAGCTGTGATATAGTAGCTGGTAACGTACACTACACTTTATCTATAGAGCCATTGTCTACAACTGCAAATTTAAAATTTACGTTGCTGACAACATGTGACTGCTGAGGTTTTGTGTAAAACTCTGTGACAATACTCTTAGCAAATTAGCAGAGATAACAGAAAAAGACAAAATGTA